TAATCTCTTCATGGCTGCCTGCATCTCCTGATTCCTCAGTGTGTAGATCATGGGGTTGAGCATGGGGGTCATAACTGTGTAGCTAATGGATAAAGTCTTATCCAAGGAAAAGGTACTGAAAGGCCGGGAGTAGACAGAGATACAGGGAATGAAGATCATAGACACTACAATAATGTGGGTGGTGCAGGTGGAAGCTGCCTTCTTCCTTGCCTGCCCTGAGTGGGACCTCAGCATCACCAGGATGACCGTGTAAGATACCAGAAGGAGAAGGAACCAGATGAGGACCAGCATTCCACTGTTGGAGATCATGAGGAACTCCAGGAGGGAGGTGTCCGTGCAGGCAAGTCTCAGCACTTGGGGGACATCACAGTAGAAGTTATCCAGGATGTTGGGGCCACAAAAAGGCAATGGGAGCATCAGAGCCAGCTGGACAATGGAATGAACAAATCCCCCTACCCAAGCAGCCACCACCAAGCCCACACACAATCGAGTGTTCATGATGGTGACATAGTGGAGGGGCCGGGAGATGGCTATGTAGCGGTCATAGGCCATTACTGAAAGGAAGAAGACAGTCCCACCTCCCAGGAGGTGGAAGAAGAAGATCTGGGCCATGCATCCCTGGTAGGAGATGGTCTTGACCTCATGAAAGAAGTCCACTAGCATCTTTGGAGAAGTCACTGTGGAATAGCAAAGGTCTATGACAGCCAGATTTCGGAGCAGGAAATACATGGGGCTGTGGAGTCGGGAGTCAGAAGTCACTGTGACCATGATAAGGATGTTTCCCACAACAGTGGTGACATAGACAGATAGGAACACCAGGAACAGAAATTTCTGGAGCTCATGGGTCTGTGAGAATGCCAAGAGGACAAACTCTGACACCTGTGTGATATTCTGTGCTTCCATGGGATCTTCCCCACATGCCTAAAGAAAAACCATGCAAAAAATCATGAAAATTCCATCATTTACCTTTAAAGAGTCAGAATAAGTTGATCAAAGTCATTGTTGAATATTTTCTAAGATGGAACTTAGGAGAGCCTTCCATGGAGATAAATATATTTTCAAGGCCCTCACAGACTTATCTCCTTAACCACACCCTACATCGTATCCCAGGCTTTTATGGGTCCCCCCCTCTTTGTATCACTCTGTCCTTGTCCCATAGGTTTCTTGTTGATTCATACCTAATGTGCCCGACATAGCGCCATGTGAACTACAGGCTCCACAAACATGGTTGAGTCAATGAAAAAAATGAATAAACATGTCATCAAGTACAGGTGATTACAAATATCATCATCCTGGCTGCAAAAATCTTGAAAGGATACAGAGACTAATGGTTTTAGATAAACAAATAGATGCTTCGTCATGGCAGTTTGAGCTGCGTATGATTCATTGCCGAGGAAGAGAGGTGTGGATTAGAAGAAATTTTCATGCCCTAATTTGGAACCAAATGTAAAGCAAACAAGCAGATGATCTTGGCTAAATCTGGGATGATTAGGACTTCTCAGACTTTTCCATATAAATACTTCTCTAATGGCATTGTTGCCATGAGGCCATCTACAGAGGTATCTCAGAACAGCCCAGGACAAATGCAAAATTTCCTTGAACTCTCAAGCTTTATATTTTAAAAACTATTGGAACTTTCTATTATAAGCATATCTCTAGACCATCTTTGAGGGTTTTTTAAAAAATTTAAGTATTGTGGCTTGTAAACTTTGATTGCTAAGATCAAGGAGTTACAGAAAATACAGAAGAAAGAAGAAACAGATTTCATTAGTTCAGTAAGTGGAAGTTCTAGCAGGCATTCCCTTGAAAAATAAACTTAGTTCTTTAATGTTAAAACCCATTCCCTCGAGTTACACCTTTCTAAAATTTTCTCTAATCATTCAGGAAAACTTGTTCTGAGGCTCCACCCTGTAAAGACAATGGAACCTAAAAGGATTTCTCTGTCCGGCTTCCTACCTGATATATGAGAAGAAAACAGCAATTGCACTGATACGCTTTTCATAGGAAATTGAATGAATAAGTGTAAAAAGACTTCTATCTACAATTATGAAACAGAATTATCTCTGAAATTATCTGTGAGGTGTTCCAAGACTCAAAATATTGTCATCATTATTTTATCCCTAGAATTCACATTCAAGCCCAATATGTGTGTAAAAATGGTGTACCAGGAAGATGCATTTTTTTTTTAATCCTGTGACTCCACCAGCTGTCAGCATAAGACTATATGAAAAGCAACCCCATGGACAACTGAGAACCCCTGTAAGCCGTTTGGTGGGAAATAATGTGATGAGACAGGGTTAAAATAGGCTTATCCTGGCACACTGGGGTGGAAAGCCCTGAGACAGGCGGGAGTGGAGCAGACACTCGAGGGGCATTGTCAGAACAACTCTAACAGAGGGTAATACGTCTCTGTCTCCAGCTTTGTGTCCTTGCTCTACCACATGCTGTCAAGATTAGACTGGGTGGGCAGCATCTTTAATGGCCTGGTTTGGCCTCTCTGAGAAAGCGCCTGACCTCTAACCCTTTACCCCAACCCTCCCATCTAATTATGGATTCCTAAAATGCCAACAACAGAGTTCTATTATCCCTATTTTTACCTTTATCCCTATAAAAATTACAACTGTCACACACGTCTCTATGTCTTCATCAGTCAGAGATGCACACTCTGTAACATCAACTTCCTAATAGACATTTTCCATCTAAATCAAAACTTTCCAGACTTTTCCATGGTTCTTCATTGCCTATAAGAAAGAATTCACACTTAGATGGCTTTTCAAGGGCTCCTACCTTTCTTTCCAGACCCATCTGCCACTTAGCAGTAGCTGAAGTAGTCAACATTTCTTGTAGTGGTGACAGGAATTGCTGTATTGTAGTAGCAGACATTTACTGAGTGTTCGCTAGGTGTTGGCACTATGCTAAACAATTTATAAACATTAACCTGTTTAATTCTCATAAAGTATTTGCATCCTTATAAAATATAGTAAATACTATTAATTATCCCCACTTTACAAACAAATAAACTGAGGCTTAAAAAGGTTAAATAATTTGTCCCAGGTCACACTGAGAGTGAGTAGCAGAGCTGGAACTCTGAACCAGGTCTGATGAGTCCCATATATTCTGCACTCCTAAGCACTATTCTCTTCTTACTTGCTCCCTGCTGAGAACACTTGACTTCAACCAAATTGATCCCCTCCTCAGTTCCTCAGGCGTCAGGACCTATCATCAGGCCAGCACCCCACCTGGATTGCCTTCCCATCCTGTTCATCTGTCTGAATCCTACCCCTCCTTCAAGGCCTGAGATTAATGAATATTCTCTAACATTACCACAGACTGGTATTTTTCCACAAGGATGTCTCCTCGCTTGTATTTGTAATTTCAATGCAAGTCTGATATGTTGAGTGCTACACAGTTCCTGGGGCACACATAGCCTTTCTCATAGATAATTCCTAAAAGAATGTTTGATGGCTTGATGTGCTGTGATGGGCCAGACCACTGCGAGAAATGAAAAGAGAGCAAGTCACCAATGAATGAAAGTTCAGTTCGAGGGACTTTAAAGGGAGCTCCAAATTCTAATTCCCACCATCACCAGAGTTACAAACCTAAAAGCGTCCTCTTAGCATGGCCAGCATGCTTTCCACGAACTTGTAAGAATCTTTGAAATGATTCTTCCGCCTACGTGCAAAAAGAATAGATTTAGATGGGAAAGCAAAATAAAGTGACATACTGAGGGTCATGGATATGAAAAGGGAAAGAGAAGGATTCCAGACCCTTTTCTTTTATTGCTCAACCTTGTTTCCCATCCACCTTACTCTTATGAAATTCATCCATGCAGGACTGAGAGGAGGCGGGGGGACAAGTGATTCCAAAAATGGGGGTGAATCTAGTCTGTAGTCATCTTGGAAGTATTAACAGGTCTTATTAAGACAAGATCTTGAAGAAGGGAGGATGGAGACATAGAAGTAGAGAAGGAATGAAGACTCAGAGTGGGAGAGCAGCGGGCAGGAGGAGGAGAACAGAGGATTAAAAGGGAAACAGTAGAGGGCGGGAAGTGTGAGAGAAAGACCTGGTGTGTTTTCTTCTAGATGTGGGAAGAAGCTGGAGTATGTGTGGGGGAGATGGGGGAGAAACCAGCTGTGTCTCTTCTGCTCTCCCTCCCACCCTCTGTCCTGAATTCCACACAACACATAAGCCAGTATGGACAAAAGTCTTAGTTTCAGATAAAATTAACTGTTCGCCCAAGCCCCGTCCCCCAGCATCCTTGCCCAGTGACTTTCCCATACCCTCCCTCCACCCCATTCTTGTCTTACAATAGGCTTTGCAGGAGCCTTTTCAGTGCTGACTTGTCCATGGGAAGGACACAGTAGCCATCACCTACCTCTGGCCCAAAGTGGCCAAGGGGACTTAGAACCTCCACCCTCCAGACCACTCTTCTCTGGCAGCTCCATTCTTTTCCTGGCCTCTGTCAGACCAAGAACACAGAAGATTGGCCTTAAGGGAAAGGACACTCCTCAGGGAACAAAACTTAGGCTTAATTCATGCAATGAAGCTGGGCTGAGGCTGCTGAGGGCAGGAGCAACGGGAGTTATTAAAAAAGTGTGTGAGGTGTTGCATCAGATGCACATTATCATTGAGAAACTGCCTTGGGTCCCAGTGCTCTGGGAGCACTGATCATAGGACCAAGACAAAGAAGAAGAAGAAGAAGAACGCTTATAGGAAATGAATTCCCGGGGAGGTTTACAAGAACCAAATCCTTGGAGGTCAGCAGCATGGGCAGTGCAAGGCCTCCACCTTCCACCCTCTGCTTCCATCACTGTAGTTGAAAAAGTAAGCTCTATCCTATGACATGGTCAAAGTCATGACCTCTATAAACTCCAAAGCCTTTTCACATGTCCATTTGTTAAGGCATCTCTCACCCCCACCTCTGATCTGCTCTCCTCACAGCTGGCATGACCTTCTCAGTACAAATTGGCTAAGTTTACCCTCAAGATAC